CAAACCACTTCTACATAAAAGCTGGCAGCTCACTGTTAAAATGTAAAGAGACTCCTGGCTGCTATAGCAGCTGGGAGTTTGTATACATGCTGGAGCTGTGGCTGACATAATAGTTGTGTTGGCAGCAGCAAAAGGGTTAAAGCTCTTTTAATGCTTGTTGGGAATATATAAATGCTTTAATGCCTATTATCTGGCCACAGTTGTACTTAAATGCAAGTTTATTTTGCACACTTCAGTCAGTGGCAAATATTAAACTCGCACAAAGGAGGAGTATGACTGTAAAAGTAACAATGCCTTACCAGCCTGTCATATTGAAGTCTCTGTAAAGCATCGTCTTGCCCAGCTCCTTACGTTGCACTCTTCTTGGAAATTCTAAATGTGTAAATTCATTCCCCAGCAGGTGAGGCTGCAGAAAAGCCTAGATTTAAGGGAGAAAACACAATAGATGAATTTTTTTTTAGGATAGCAGGTAATTTCATGAAATCTTCAGAATTGAAATCAATGCAATATACAAAAATAACAAATAGTAATTTATAAAGTGCATATGCATTTTCTTAAAGCTGGGTGAATATGCAGTAAAAGTAAGAATAACCAGAATGGAGTGAATTATGAAGCCCAGCTGCACCCATAACATTTTTACATTTGTGTGGTCGCTAGCAACTTGGACCGGCTTTTTATACCTCTTGAAATACAGTGGCAAGATATTTCCACCAGAATTCCAAAATGAGCCTAGCTGCTGCAGACAAGTCAAGGCCAAAGAACTGGGTCAACCATTAGACTATTGAAAATAGAAAATAAATGGGGAACGTAGCTGTAAGAAAGTGACACCTTTGTTATGGTCTTGTGGGAGGAGACATAGGCAAGAACAGAGCAAGCTCAGTGTTGATACTCACATGATCCAACTTGTTGAAAGCTGACACTATGACGATTGCGTGCACTGGTTCTAACCATGTGTAAATAATAAATAAATGCACTTTCCTTATACAGCACATAGAAGTCTGTTGGCAATAGCAATCAGGTAATGTTATGCAATGGTAGACACTGTGACACCATAAATGAGACACCATAGATAAATAAATGAGATCTTTGGATGCAGACACCAATAACTTTACAGAAGTGTTTTTTTGGAATTCTGTAGAGGCACATACTTAGATGCTTTGAAATTGAAGCACCCCAAAATAAGTCAGAAAGTCTGCTGGTAGAAGATGTTAGATGACAGCATAAAATAACAATGGTCTGTGGGCGGTGCAGAGAAAATTAAGCCGTAGTATTCAGTACCATTAATCATGGGTGGAAAGAAGGCACTTCTTTCAATGTCCCATAAAGCTAAAAACACATTGGGGGGAATTTATCAAAACTGGAGCAGCAGTCCATGACAACCAATCAGCCTCTCTCTTCAGTTTGGGCAGTTAAGATTTAAAATGAAAGAGAGAAGCTGATTGGTTGCCATGCACAGCTGCTCCAGATTTTGTCTGCTCCAGTTTTGATAAATTCCCTTCATTGTATCTTATTTCATGTAGATTGAAAAAACACAGGGAATTATATACTTGGGAACAACAGCTTAAGTTTTTTTTTTCTGTCAGCATACTATCCTTGGTTATCTACCAATGACGCAGTACAGCAGGCTTGTCCACATTAGCAATGCGTCCAGCCGTCCTCCCTCTAGGTAGAGCTGCCCATATTCCCACATCTACCTAGAGCAAGAATGGCCGGACGCCATATGAGGTGATTTAATGCAGTTTGAAGTACAGCCATCCTTCCCCTCATATCTCCTAAATAAAACTCTGTACCTCTGTATAATCTCTGCCTGGGAAAGAATGTGTAGACGCCTGAGCTTTCCAGCTGTGATCGAATGTTCACAATTGCAATGCTTTCCAGGCTTGAATGCAAATATTAAAGAAATTAAACTTTTTGATATATAATTAATAATGCATTTCTTAAATTTTTGCAAAAGGTAGAACTTATGCTTTAACAACTGGAACTGGCTACTATGGTAGTAGCTCCTTTGGGGTATTGGTGCTCCCTTAAAGGTGCCCATACACTGCTCGATTCTCGTACGAGAATCGCGGGAAATCCCGCGATCGTACGAGAATCGAGCAGTGTGAACGAAGACGTGCGAACGTTTCTACTGTACGGTCACATGTCTTTTGTCTAAGGAGCATGCTAGAAAACCAGCCGAAAATCGTACGATTTTCAGGCTGGTTTGAACGGTGCTCGGGAGACAAATGCCGAACAGGCCGGTGTGCGCACGCGCACACTGCCCTTTCAGCATTGTGGTCATCGGAAGCCCGCCCCTCAGCGGGACGGGCTTGTGATGATCGAGAGTACGATCTGCCTGTCCAAGATGGGCAGATCGTACGTTTTTTAAATTACTTTACAACCATCGCAAGACTAAGGTCTTGCGATGGTTGTAAAGTGTATGGCCACCTTAATGTTCTTGGTGTACAGTACACTGTGTATTCATTAGTTTACTATGGATATTATGCCGACAGTTACACTTTAAAAAATGTTTATGATTATCTCTCACAAGGAAAGGGATAAATACCTGACAGATTTGCACAACACTGCTGATAGAAAAGAATATTGGATATTTAGTGATTTAATTACCATGTTTTTCTGAATTTTCTAATATGCCTAAACATTTGATTTTGTGTGATTCTGATTCTTTGCAGTGGGATTATTTTCTGATCTGCTCAAGGAATTTACACTTCGACATGCGGTATTGATTTTTGGCTGTAAACACCGCAATATTATGTGAATTGCACAATTTTAAATAATTTGCTTTTATTTTTCAGATTTTTCAAAAACTATCTCTATGTTCAGTGATTGGCAAAAGCATTATCAAACAATCAGTGACTAGGCCTTCTTAGCCTGACACCTAATGCATGTGCAAAGCTTTTGTAGAACAGTTGTATGAATACTATATGTAAATAAATGTAAAATAGATAAATTGGTGAACTTTTATAATGTACACTAAATAGCAACTATCTCAATTTGTTGGCACAGTTTACAAGCTATAAACAAATGTACAATATAGCAGGTAAACCCCAACAATTAACTCCACTTATTTGCTTCCTTTTTGTCTAGTAAATATTCCATTGCAAGCTTTCGGTATGTTTTTTAAGTAAAAAGAAGCATGTTGATCTTGTCAGAAATTCAGAGCTGTCCTGTGTTCTCTGCCTTTGTTATCTCAAACAGTCTATTTAACACTGGTCTTATCTTGGACTACAAGTCAATTAGTCCCTATGCAGTGGATAAAAAGACAGTAGGGGTGCTTGAGTAGTTTAGTAAAAGACAATGGCTGGGGCTGATACCACACCATAAATGCTGTGTTGTCAGCACACAATAGGAAATGAAGACTCAAGGGCATTTCCGGCAGATTAACAGGTATTTTTCTGGACTTGCTTAAAAGGTATAAAAACACAGGCGAATGTGTATGTATTGAAGATGTAATTATTTTACTTTATATTTTTATTTTGCCTTGACATACACTTTAACAAAAGCTAAAAACGAGAACTAGAGACAAAGTAGTCATGTGAAAATCCCCTTGAAAGTAATTTTTTTTTTTTTTTCTTGAAGTGCGATGTGAACACCATGCAGCATCTCAATCAAAGAAAATATATGTGGATCAGAAATAAAAAGATTTGTACATTCTTTGCTGGCCAACTGACCTAGTAAGTGTAAATATGTATGTAACAAAAGGCTTCTATTATAAATGTACCAAAAATTGTCTGTTCATGTTGGTCTTATTACAATGCAACACATACGGAATACTATACAGGCTCATGGGTGGGAAGGACTCACAAAGAAACTGGTGCACTGCTAATGCACAGGACCTGATGGTATTGTAAGAGCAATGCTTCCTGTGCCTCAGGCGGTGTCATGAAATGAAGAGCTATTTAATGCCACATTCACTCTCTATCTACTCTACAATGTCATGTGGGGCATAAAGCTTTTTGTTGACTCTTGGTGATTACATTCATGGTATTCACAAATGCATCATAGGAATCACAATGCTTTGAGCAATCTGGAGAATTTTATTCGGTCTCTTAGTGCCACCAACCCAGATACTTTAAATACTTTTAATCTTTTTTTTTTTATACTTTACACGCCTATTATTTAGTCATGTATATATTTTTTAGATGTAATGTCAGTAAGCTTCTACTCTGTCAACTGATCACAATATTATATGCTATAGATTCTTTTATTAATACTTTGGAAAGAAGAACTTATGTTGCAGAATATATTTGCCTGTTTTCATATATATGGTATAAAGCTAGCCATAAAACAAAGTGAATTTCACCCAAGTTTTCCTGAATACGCCAAAATTTGAGCCGTGGAAACAAAATATGGCCATACACAAGGTAAAATGAATAACAGTATAAAAAAAATCTGCCCATGCTTTGAATAACTGCAGACAATCCAAAACCATCATCACATTTCCCCAATATGTATACCTTTCTCCCTACCTGTTTTGTGACTATCATTTCTATTGGATAAAAGAAAATTTAGGGGGTTAAAACCAACATTTTGCATTTCTCTGGGGCTGACATATTCTGGATATATCCTGTTTATATTCCTACAAGGAGCAGTCACAAACAAATGTGGACTACATGTGTTTCTAGTATTATAATAAAATGACTGCATGGGAAAGGGAACCCATAAAATACACTCTCATTGTATTACAGGGGGCTGTTATTGCTCAGTACTGAACCACTGCACTACCCTTTTCATTAAAAAACAAAAACAAATAAAACCTTTGATCTCAATAAAGAAATTATATCTCCATGTCATACAATAAACTACCCATCTCTTTTAAGTAGTATGCCATGCACATTTGAAGGAGAACTGTGAGACGAGTGAAAATCACTCTGCCTCATAGTTCTAGCCGACCTGTGACAATGAAACTGTCACAGGTCGGCTCAATAGATCGGGAAGTGAGCGAACACATACCGGCGTTTGCTCACTTCTCGATCCTGTCCCTGCAGGGATTCCCCCTCCCCGTCCCATCCTCCAGGGCTGACTGGCGGAACGGACGGGGGAGGGGGTGGGTACAGCTGGCTCTGCCTCTAGATAGGCAGAGCCAGCTGTCACTCACGCATATACAATCCAAGAATCTGTGATCATCTATCTCGGGAAGGGTAGAAATGGTGACCACTTGGAAAAATCCAAACTGGCCAATTAACTCCCTGCTCCAGAACAATTGACCAGAGGTGTGTGTTCACATTGGAAGGGGCCCATAGATGATGTGAATGTTGCTGGAACTGGCCGAAACATTGGTAAAGACCGTTTAATGTTTAAGATACTTTTTATTCTCGCTGTCAAAATAACTTTAGAGAACCAGCTTGCACATCTGATAAGATAGCTTCTTGACTTTCATCCTCCTCATCAAAGCACAGCAGCAAAGACAGTCAATGC